CATCAGAAGGACCTAGTTTTTTATATTTTTTTATTTTTCAAGAAAAGCCAGAAATTCATATGTTAGGTATTCTCTCCCTATGTGGCAATTTATTTAAAATTATTAAAATACTGTGTTAGTCAAATAAATCACATCTGCAGGATTATTTGTCCTGCCAGCTTCTGGTTTGGAGTCACTGCCCTAAATTCATTGCAGAGTCTGTGCTAAGTATTTTGGAGGGAGGAGGGAGAAAGGTTGGGAATTTTAAGGGGAAAGAGGTAAGAGAGGAGACAGGGGAAAACTCCTTTTCTTAATGATCAGAGAGTCCCAAAAGGAGTAGGGACTTCTACTTTTCTCCCTGACAATGTCTTTGCCCAGGTGGCGAGATATCAGAAGGGGGCAGGGCCATAGGCCCAGGGGGAATTGGGGGTCACAGTTCCTCTTTAAGTTTACATGAAAGTTGTGGAGAGGTCAAATTCCAAGAGATCATCAGGAAGGCACAATGCAGTTATAAGGCAGGAGGGGGCCTGCCAAAAATTTGTCCTAAGCATCCCCAGTCTCTGCATAACCCTAGTGGATGGGTGGGGGCTGCAGTAATGACTGGACTGGATTTCCCACCAGACTGGAGGGAACGGGACTCAGTGAGGCACATTAAAACGAAAGTAAATAAAGCTGTAGGATGTTTCTTGTACAACCAAGTTTGTTGACTAATATTCATTCATAGTACGTGGCATTTTGTTTCTGTCAAAGTGAGGAAGACAGCTGGGAAGGGAGAAAGTATAACAGACTTTGCCCCAACACAGGATTTTAGTCCCATGTTCCCCTTGAGTTTTCTTGGGCTCCTTCCAGATCAGCCTTGGACCGTGTCCTCCCAGATGAGTCTCCTGGTTTGAACTCCCATCCAGACATCCAGAGTAAGGGCCTTGTTTGTTCCAAAGCCCTGTTCCTTAGGAATTTGCAGTTACAGCATTTGCCACATATGTTCCGGCAGCAGGGGTGAGGCTGAGGCATCACAGGCCTCTTATGGTCCAGATGAGTGATGATCAGTGCCAAATGCATAGCATCCCTTGGTTGGCTGTGGCCTCAATCCTCCTAGCTTGTAAACAGGAATTCCTAGGCTCTATGAGCTCAGTTCGTGAAGAAAACAAAACCCTTCTTCACCCTTTTCTTGTTCTAAATACCCCTCTCCTCCTCGGTCCTCTTCCTTTACCCCTCTCTCTAGAGAATGGCCTGGAGAGAAGGAAACCAGCTGGCTCAAGCTGACAGGGTGAGATTTTTGTGGAGATAATTTTCCATCAAATGGAAGCTGGAAGGTAGAGGTGGAATTGCTGCTTCTATTTAGGAAGCAGAGTTGCTTTCTGGCAGAGAGCTTAAGTGGGCAGCAGCAGGTAGGTGAACCTTCCCTTTCGCAGACTCACCTGTCTCCTGGCCCCACCTACAGAAATTCCAAGGGCTTGTGAGTTGAGGCTGAAGGACTTTCCGTAGGGGTGGGACTGCTCTGTGCTGCTGGAATATTTTCCTTCTCCCCAAAAGAGGTGAGTGCACACAAGTATGAAATAAAACCAAAAAGCTCCCAACTTTTTCTGAGGACTGGCAAACTGCAACATATATTATCTGCTTGAGCAATGGAGGAAAAATACCCTCAGGCCAAGTCATGCCTGTGCCTTTCTCCATATCTCACCCCTCTAATCCCACCTCCTCATCTTGGATAAGTAGAGGAGGGAAGGAAGGAGAGGGAGGATATGGAGGAGAGAGGGAAGCCCAAAGTCAGGTTTGGAAGTGGTTTGGCCAGGAACCAGGTGTAAGATTGAGAAAACGGTCTTTATTGAGGGCATGAATGTAACTGCCTTAGGGGGATTTGAGGCCTGCTCATGCCAATCACTATTTATAATGTAGGGTGTGCTGTATCCACCACTGGAATTCAGACATGTCTGGGCATCTCTGTCAAATTGGTCCCATGAGATAGACAGGGACTCAGGAATCTACTGGAAGAATCTTCATCCTATGGGGGCAGAAACCAAGCACCACGATCTCAGCCACGTAACAGGGCCTTAGACTTATGAGGGGAGGAGTGACGGTGTGAGCCCAGTGTCTGTCAGACACATCTGTCCCAGTGCTGGCTCCATGCCCTAGCGAGAGAAGACTAGCTGCGAGTGTAAACTCCCAAGATGTTGAGCAGGAGCATCTCTGCTTCGGTAGTACTGAAAACTTCCTAACTGCACATGTGGAGGGGGTCATTCTCCTCCATATGGTGCCATAGATAACCAGTGCCTGTGGGTGACGAGGGTATTATGGGAAGTGCTTTTTGGGAGCCACATCATCGCTGATCGAAATGGTGGAGGGCACATTCAGGTCAGCTCTGAGGACTCCCGGAACAATTTGGGTGGAGTTTGTCAGGGTGGGCATCTGGGATACCACATCAACAGGATTACAGCAGCCACAATAGTAATTCTGTCTTGCATTTCAATCCGAATGGACTTTACAGAAATTTGCACATATATATTTTTATTTGAGCCTCATGACCTCCCATGTGGTAGAAGCAAGTGGAATAATCCTCCTCAGTACCAAGTAGGGCTGGGCTTGACACCTTTGAGGACACTTCAGCTCCATCACTCCAGCATTCTTGGGGGTTGTCCAAGGGCCCAGCTTGGGCTGTTCATTAGGTAGGCACACTTCAGAAGCTGTGAAGTCAAGAAACATGCATTGCCTGGGGGCCTCCTCCCTGCCTGGGGTTCTGAACAGGAGGCAAAACAGTAAAAAGGGAGATAAAAATATTATTTTATTACTGCTAGAGGCTAAGTGGGAAGAAGCCGCTTACAGTGACAAACAAATGGCTCTGCTCTCTGAGCACAGGATTGGGCAGACCTGTCTACCCTGTCCCGGGAGGGGGCACTTTTCCAGGTAAAACTTTGAGCATAAGAAGGCAGAAGGGAGGCTGGGCGCGGTGGCTCAAGCCTGTAATCCCAGCACTTTGGGAGGCTGAGGCGGGTGGATCACGAGGTCAAGAGATCGAGACCATCCTGGTCAACATCATGAAACCCCGTCTCTACTAAAATTACAAAAAATTAGCTCAGCATGGTGGCGCGTGCCTGTAATCCCAGCTACTCTGGAGCCTGAGGCAGGAGAATTGCCTGAACCCAGGGGGCGGAGGTTGCGGTGAGCCGAGATCGCGCCATTGCACTCCAGCCTGGGTAACAAGAGTGAAACTCCATCTCAAAAAAAAAAAAAGGCAGAAGGGAACAAGAAGAAACAGCGGAAGGGGCTGGGTGACTCTGTCTGGTGCCTCCCTCTAACTCACCAATCAGGTGAAGGTGGGAAGGGCCAGGAATGTCACATGAATGGATGTCCCTCCACGTGGGAGAAATGTCAGAGTTAGGGAAAACATGTTCCTATGTGAACAACTGTACTATATTGACATGCAACTTCTCTTGGGGCCAGGCCCTCTACACTGGCAGGAGTGGCTTAGTTTTCTGGCCCATTGAGAGTTCATTGCCATATTAGGATTCTCCAGGGAAACAGAACCAATGGGATATATAGGAGATGTGTGTGTGTGTGTGTGTGTGTGTGTGTGTGTGTGTGTGTGTACAGAGAGAGAGGAAGTGTTGGGGAGGGAGACACCAATACAAGTAAATATACTGAACAAAATTAAATTATGAAGATTTATATTAATCCTTGGATCGATTAGTACCTCTCAATCATCTGGCATCTGTGGCCCATGCCGAGTCATGGGGCTTCTTAAATATTTTTTGTATTGAAAACAAGATAAGAACAACTTGCTTCCTGATTCAACGAGTAGCAGAAGTGTCTGCTCTGTGCAATGCCCTGTGTTGTAGAGGACGTGAAGGAATATGACATGTGGTATTTGTTTTCTGGAAGCTCAAGGTTAAGTTGACTATGGCAAAGCATAACATAATGATGCGTTTAAGACAGTGTAAGCCAAATGTTGTTGTGGTCTGAGGTGGGGCCAATTCCCAGCTAGAGTCTGAAGAAGGCTCCGTGGAAAAGAAAACATTTAAATTGTACCCTGAAGAGTGAATAGAATTTTGAAAAGCAAAATTTAGGGTGGGCGTGGTGGTTCAGCCTGTAATCCCAGCACTTTGGGAGGTTGAGGAGGGTGGATCGCCTCATCAGGAGTTTAAGACCACCTTGTCAACATGGTGAAATTCCATTTCTACTAAAAATTCAAAAATTAGCTGAATATGGTGGCATGTGCCTGTAATTCTAGTTGCTCGGAAGGACGAGGAAGAAGAATTGCTTGAACCCAGGAGGCAGAGGTTAGAATGAGCTGAGATTGCACCACTGCACTACAGCCTGGGCAACAGAGTGAGACTCCATCTCAAAAAAAAAAAAAAAAGCAGAAATTAAAGAAAATGATATTCCAGGCTAGGTTGAACTTGAGGAATGTTGATAAATCTGGTCTTGCTAGAGTATTTTGTGTGTGTATGTGCTTGGGGGAGCAAAGTGGAGAGGGGGACGGCTATAGGGGCCTTCTTGGGGCTGAAATGTGGGAAGAAAAAATTTAAAGACAGAGTTCAGTTGGGAAAGATAGTTTATGGTTACACTGGGAAAGGCATTGTGTGTTGTGCTAAGGAGTTAAAACTTCCTTCTGAAGGTAATGGGGTGGCTATTCACTGTTTTTAAGTACAGGACACACACACACACACACACACACACAAACACACACACACACCCCTATACACCCTATTGGTTCTGATTCCCTGAGGAATGCTGACTAACACAGCAATGAAGGATTGCCTTCTGGTAATCAAATGCATGAAGGAAGAATGGTGGTCAGAGCCAGTGTAAGAGCCTTGGTCAAAGCTGGGTGAGGACTGAACCATCACAGAGGCGGTGGAAATGGATATGAGGGCACTCACTGGAGCAGTTTGGAAGGCAGAACCTGAAAATGGGTAGGAGTAATTCTGGTTGGCATGGGAGGAAGTCAATCAGGAGGTTTTCCCTATTTTAGCACTCAGCATGCTCTACTTTGTGTCAGTGACTCTTTCCTCTGTGTTCCCCAGGTCCCATCAAGATTGAAGGTTTGTTGACGACAGTCAGGGCTTTCATCTTTGTGTGCCCCTCAGCCTTCAGCACAGAGCTCTGGCCAGGTGAGTGCCATCTATAAATGTTAGTGACAATGAAGTGACCCCAGGAGGATAGGGTGGGGCATGCAAATCATTTGGGTGAGGGTCTGTTTGTCACTTGTGTGGGCGTGCCACCTGGCACCTGAAGTGAAACTCTCTGCAAAGCACACGTGTGGAACGGAGGAGCCTGTGTGGGAAATCCCTTCCTGACACCCATGAGTGGTCACCTCATTAGCATCCCCAGAACAGTAGAGGGAGGGAGCCTGATCAGTAACAGGAGGCCAGGAGGGTCCTGCTACTCATCCTGTTCTGGGCTGGGGAAGATAGACTGGTCAGGATTCCTGCTGAGGGGAGCCCAGGTTCTGGCCACTCACCGGCCTTGCACTCACCAACCTATGCCCATCACATGAGCCATAAAAGGATGTGGAAGTTACCATTGGTGATAAGTTCTCAGGGTCACCTGTAAGGGCATTTGTCTGGCAGGATGAGGGCTAAATATTCTCTCCTTTTATATTTGATTTACTTTTTTTGGAAAAAGTAAATGTAGAAAATTTTTAGAATATTTGAAATTATAATTAAAAAGATAAATAAAAACACCCATTGTCCCACCACCAAAATAGCTTTTGTCAAATTTTCATGAGTGTATGGCAGCATGTCCTTTCCATACGTTTCAGGTGTATGTATTACTTATCATCTGTATGGTGTACCATATTCATACTATATATACGGCCATTACCAAGTAGTGGTGCTTTTTATTTCTTCAGTTAATCACCAGGGTGCACTTCTATCCTCATATGTAGGACGTCCAGGATCTCATCAGATGCTCTTTTTTCTTGAACACCAAGGGGTCACTCCGTCCAAAGGGAGCCAGACTTTTGGCTCAAACACAGTAGATGACAGAGCAGGGTCTGATCCAATGAAGCTTATCTTTCTTGCTGCCACATGGTATCCCTGTTGAAAACTATTTGCCAATCCCATGGCATCTTCAGAGTTCTAGGCTATTGTCAGTACCGTTGGACCCACACTTAGGCGGCAAGGGTATAGCTCTCTAAGTTCACACTCTCACTCTCAAACATTGTTCCCAAAAGACTACCATGGGTTCAGATGGCTGCACTGTGAGCCTTTTCCTGCCTCAGCCACACACTCTCCCAGAGTTGATTCAAACCCATAAGCCTCAGGCTCCAGAAATGAGTCTGAGTCCCCAGCATGGCATCCCTTCACCCTTCTTGTCTTTGGAGCCTTTAGAACCTTCTCCTGACGACAAAACATGGTCATGCTTCTGTAATTTTAACTCTTGGGTAGAAAGGTGTGGGAGTCTAGGTTACTTCCTTTCAGAAGATTCCAAATGCCATATGCAAATGGGTTCTTCTTTTCCCCAGAAGTCAGCTCTGCATATGGAGGAATATTTGTCAGGCTACAAAAGGTTTAATTCTATTGTTCGCCAAGGAATGTGCCAAACAACTAAGATCTCTAAGGTGTCAGAGGACAACCACAATAGATGGTTGTATGACTGACTAAAAAGTTAGCTGATCTCTCACCAAGGAGGAGAATCAAGGGCCATTTTGACACATGCTTACATGGGGCTTTCCCTTTGGAGCCAATAAAATCTATTGCTCTTCTGACCCGAGTGTTGTCCTGGTGATTTGGGCCTCTCTGACTCAGTAGGCAGGCTTGGAAAGCCAAACATTTCCTCCTAGGGCATTGATGGTATGCTCAGCTCAGCTCTTTCAATCATCAGTTAAAAAAAATGGAAATGCTTCCAAACCTCAGAGCTGAGGATTCACTCTGAATAACAATTTTATGTGAAATTGACATACTATATGTTCAGACTATATCCTGCATCTTGTCGCTTCTTACCACCAAGGTTCTGGCCACTGTCATTGCTCATCTGGACAGTTACAATAACCTCCCAGTTCTCTGCTTGCCTGCTTTCCCCTCTGTTGTCTGTGCTTCACACAGCAGTCAGGATAGATGGCTCAAAGACCTCCAGTGCCTTCTGACAACACACTGAAATGAAATCCACACTCCCCACTGACGCATGTGGACCCTCCAGCGTGTGACCCCTGTGAGTCTCTCCAATCTTACCCCTTTCTCTTATTGCTCCAGCTACACTGCTTTTCTTGCTCTTCCTTGAGTAACCACGCCTATTTCTTCCTCAGGGCTTTTACTTGTGTTTTTTTCTTCTCCCTAAAATGTTCTTCCTCCATTTCTTCATGTAGTTCATGCTCTCAATTCATTAAAAGATGTTCAAAAGTCACTTTTGTAGAGAGGACTTTAAAAATAGACACTGCCTCCTGACTAATGTCCTTCCTTGCCCCCACCTGTGTCCCTGAATCACACAATTTTTCTTCATAATTTTTACCATTACCCCCCACGTTTTATACTTTATTGATTTGTTTCTTTATGTATTGTCTATCTTTCTAGCATTAGAATTGAAGTTCCTTGAGAAAAAGCCATGTTTACCCTTTCTGTGGTAGAGTCCACTGGTCCTAGGGCAGTGCCTGGCATATAGTAGATGCTTAATGAATGTGTTGTACATGAATAAATTAATAAATGAGACTGTTTCTCAAATCAAATACTCCTTAATCTATTGTTTCTCTAATCTTTTGGGTTTATAAACAGGAATAGTTAGCAATTTGGATAGGGTTTGGCCAGATCTGTTTCATGACACTGGCTGGGGTCATTCATTAATCTGCATTTATCTGGTGCTTAACATGGGCTGGGAGATCCAAGAAGGCTTCATTCATATGTCTGGTTCCTAGATGCTCTCTACAAGGCCTTTTTTCTCCGCATGGCTAACTGGGCTTCCGTACATCATGGTGGTCTCAAGGTGATTGTACTTTTTACATGGCAGCAGACTTCTAAGAGGGAGCAGCAGTCCACACACTGATTTCTCATATTACCTACTAGCTTTGTGACACTGGGAAAATTATTTCCATTCTTTAAACTTCCTCATAGGTTTAAAGTGATATCTTTATAAGAGGAGAATGGAATCCCAGAACTTTATGACTCCTTTGCTAGGGACAGGGTGAGAATTACTTTTCTATTCACTTCCTTTCCACTTATCAGAACTATTGATACGTGAGGGGTTTCTGAACAGAAGTGCAAGAAAAATTGCCATTTCAAAGCTTTATATCATTTAGCCTGGAAAATTCACATTTGAGGGCCAGTCTGTGGTTATTGAAGGCAAAGCCCAGGGGCATGAAGTAAGACTAAGGGGATCTCAAAGTGCTCTGCACAACAAAGTGACAGAAAGTTTCTGTTCTCTAGCCCTGGAGCTGAGAGAAAGAGAGGATGAGAGAAAGCTTGCAGTGGGAGGCTGAGATCCCAGGTACATGGCAGCCTTAGGCCTGGGCTCTAGAAGAGGGGGGTTGGTGAGACTGTGATATTAAACTTCAGCCTGGTTCCTTTTCTGTAACTGCTTCCATTATCACCAAACCTTCAGGAAAAGCTTTGTATTGGTATCATGTGGAGGCCTAAGGAGAACGGGCCATGTTTAACCTTGAATGAAAGAGGAGAGGAGAGAGGACATCTCAGGAGGAAGAGGGAGGGGGGGTAAGCGATGAGCTGACAGCAGGAATTTGGAGAACATTTGAGCCCATCTTAGAAATACTGGAGAAAATATTAGACTTCTCTGGTGTAGTATGTTATGTAGGGGCTCAGGCTATTTTATTGGGGAAGACTGACCCCAGGATGCTGGTTAGTAGTGTTGAGGATGTTCTGATTATGCATAAAATACTTGGCCCATTACTGACTGACTTACATGGTGACTTCTATTATTATTCAGAATTGAAATAACTTGCCAAGGGAAATAAAGTTTGGTGTGGCAACCGGCATTCGGAACCAGTCTTATCTGACTCTTAATATCTTCATTTTTTCCCACTCTACCACATTTCTTTCAAGGACTATGTACTTGCTACTAAGTCTTTATTCCGAATATTAAAGACAAATGAAACACCTGGTGGCAACTTGCAGCCAAGTTTAATGACGATGCACCCTAGATCACCCAAGGCAAGGCAGGGGCATTTTGGGGGCTGGCTGGGGATTGCCCAAGCACAATCTCTCTTATTTTGGGGTCAAGTCTCCAGAGAGTATAAGGCTCTGAAGTCCATCTCTGTTCCAGCATGTCTAAAATCTTGTTTATATGCTAATTGTACTCCACCTTCAGCTGTGGTTCTATCGTTTGTCAAGTAAATAGTTTTGATAATGAGAAAAGAAACTAGAAATGCAAATGAAAGGAGACAAAGAACCTGAGTGAGCTGGAGCAAGTTTAGAGGAAACTTATAAATTCCTGCTGAGAGCCACATTGTCTCGTATGTAAACTCACACCTTTATTTTTATTTATTCTGGCATCAAAAGCTTTCCTTGCATTGGTATTGATACTGTTAATGTTTTATAGGATGTAGAGGTCATAGTCACATTGAAATCCTCCTTCAGTGAATGGAGAATTCTTATATTTATTGAAACATATACTGAGTTTGAGTCAGACTGTCATTTACCCTTACGAAAGACCTGAGAATTCTTCAGGGGTGTTGGTGACCTTTAGCGCTCCTACCATTGTTAACATACACTCCTCTATGTTCCCAGAGAGTGATACTCTTCAATCCCTTTTTCTTTTTCGAGACAGAGTTTCACCTTTATGCCCAGGCTCTAGTGAATTGGCTCAATCTTGGCTCACTCTGCAGCCTGGCTTCAAGCGATTCTCCTGCCTCTGCCTCTGGAGCAGCTGAGATTACAGGCGCCCGCCACCATGCCTGGCTAAGTTTTGTATTTTTAGTACAGATGGTGTTTCACAACTCCTTTTTCTTAACTGAGACCTAGAGCTTCTTGAAGACCCAACTTCCTCTGCAGTCTCCACCAATAGAGGCAACTCATTCTACATTCCACGCAGCCTCCTCCCCAGAAAAAGTTGCTGTTTTCTGGACTCCCACCTCCACCTCCAGAACAGCACTCATTAACCTTCCCATGGAAGCGTTTTTTTTTTTCTTTTAGGTCTTATCACCTCACTTATATCATGTTCTTTC